ACTTATACCTACTTTTGCGAGGTTAATATGTCATCCTACGAACCAGTTGTCAACCGAATGCCTCTCTTCAATTGTTTCCTTACATAAACAAACTAACGTATGGAGAGTGAGGTAAGAGGGTAGAGAGTGAGTAGATGCGCCAGGACAACAAGACCAGTGATGACACATCCATGCTCTACAGAAAGTAGATCGAGGGATTGTCTTCACTTATCTCTGACGAGTTGTAGGTTGGTGCCACAAATGACAAGACTTACTAAGGATGCTGGCGAAATATCTGGGAATATACCAAGTCCGCTGTCCGACGCTGGCAATTATCATAACTACTAAAGCAGAGGACTTCGTACAAGAAGCCTTCATCGAAGTCGTCTTGACAACATAACCAAGTTGCAAAAGCGAGGCCAGACCACATCTACACGTCGGAAGGAGAATGTGTTTAGTGAAGTGTTTCCAAGGTCGATCCCACCACGAGACGACGGACATTTGTTCACGACCAGCTGTCGATTAGCTCTACTTGAACCTACTTGTTTACTCTGTCCCGAGGTAAGTTTTTCGATGATATGATCATGGATATGAATAAAAATGGGTTTCAAAGAATTTCCAAGCGACATATTGTGACGTGAATTTTCATTTCGAATGAACAATTGGCTGGCGGGAATTCGAGATATGATCTCACCGAAAACCGAAGCAGCATTGACGCGAACAAGTCCTCGGCTCACCGTCCTGCGAAGCTTTCGTCTGTACCGCCGTGACATACATCGTCAGTGCAAGATTACATACTTTACGAAATAGGGCACCCGAAACGAGGGAGAAAGTCTTGTGGATTGCGTCAACATGAATATGGTATAAAAGCCAAACGGCTGCAGTACAACGAGATTCATCCGTTCTCATCTGGTCAGATCGACCAACGAATCTATTCTTCATTAACTTTCATACCAACAAAAATATACTAAACCCATAGAAAAGGTGGCCCGCTGCAACCCAATTCGCTTTTTTTACACAACTTGGCCATCAGAACGAGGCATCACATGATCTGATTGACTTCTTCAACCCTCTTCTACACGCTTTTAAATGAGTGAAGTCAACTTCCCGAACCGGAAATGCGTTCGGTGGCAACTGTTTCAACACACACAAACACTAGCATACGATCGCCTAATGCTTGTGCTATTGTCTATTTTTGGTATTAGAGTAGAGTTTCGAGACTACCAGTAAATCAGTAATATGAGAGGTATTCACACAATTTCATTTAAGGTCATTAAGGACTAGTAGAAGAATTTTCCCACAATCATATGAGTAGAGTTGACTTTTTCATTCAATTTCACATAGCCTTCACATTGCTTATTATTCGTAGTCAATTGTTATTGCAAATATAAGTTTGCTTCATCCACTCCAACCGGGATGAGAACAACTTTTGGGAGAACAAGGCTATGTGAAATTTAATGGAAACGTGAACTTTACTCACATCATTGTGGGAAAATTCTACCACCAGTCCTTCATCATTTCAAACGACATCGGGTGAATACATCTCATAGCATTGTCTATTTTGTCTGTATGTAATGTTGATGTCATGGGAAGTGTGATATTAAAAACTAGACTTGAGGTTAATCCAGCCTCCTCCTATTCGATGACTCTCCAACTGGCACAAATAGTTCCTACTCAGTTTCCCATGCTCTTTATTCCTATTCAGGACGTTGGCAGTTTTGTTAATTTCTATAGACTTCCTAATCTTACGATTTGATGTGAACTCCCCGTAACCCACAAAACGTTGTTTTGGGCTTATCTCTTAAGTGTCCTGTATTGCCAAAATGTGTTCAACAAGGTCAGATTTTTTGACAGACAGACCACTGCAAGCGGTTTTGTGTTCGATTAGACTCTTCTGGATGGGTCGGCAGTTCTCCTCCACATTGGCCCTACCACATGAGCATACAACTTTGTAACAGCTTCATCTAAAAATAGGGCTCAAAAATTGTTGAAAGGAAGGCGCGACTGAAGAAAGTCTTAATTCCTCTTTATGCATTATCCCGATGCTCCACTTTGTCAGTAGATAACACAACTTTTTGGCAATCCGACATGAAGACGAACTCAGAAAGAGGGTAGAATGCCCAGTTGTATATCCCGTCCCAGTTAGCAAACTAACCTCATCTTGTTACTGACAAATGAAATGTAATTGTCTACTAATCCTAAGGAGCAATTGCTTTGAAGCTGTACATGCCTTAATTTACCAATCTCCTTGTTCCTGTAGTTTACGTCTGCTGTACACAGACTCTTTATTAGCATAGACTTCATGACTTCTATTTTGACTCTACATGTGTGGAGGTTGTTTGACATTGTTTTCGCAACTTGGTCATGTTGGTAGGAAGACTTAGAGGAAAGCACTTAGTCCACAATCCATTGTATGCATGATCATTTCCAAAGTTGGACCGTGGACGTGGTACATTCCCAGACGTTTCGCCGGCATCGTCAGTGAGTATCGCCATTCTTAGCACCATACAACAACTCGTCAAAGAGACAAGTGAAGCCCATCCTTTGACCAAACGTGTGCTAAACAATTGTGGTATCTCCAACAATCCTAACCTGAACCATAAAAATTGTGGCAGTAAAGGCGTGATATGAGGATATAGGAAATTTGAAAATTCCGGGGCAGAAGGGGAGATACCACAATTGTTTGGTCAAAAGATCGGTTTCAGTTGTCTCTTTGACGAGTTGTTGTGTGGTGCTAAGAATGGCGAGACTCACTGACGATGCCGGCGAAACGT